CCAATGCTTTGTTTCAAGCTGCATGTACCATCTAATAAAGGAGCATTTATCTGAACCAGGCCTGGTTTCATGAGAATTCTTCTGAATCGGGGACTTTGTGGACTTGACACCTCCCCTCATGCCCACACACACACACCCTATTTTTAACCTCTGGAGGCTGTGAGATTCAATTCAGTGGCTATTTAAGCACATCCTCTTCAGACAGTTTGGTTCTTAAAACCTGATCTGCAAATTACTTTTCCATGAAAGAGAAAAATGTGAGCAGACAGCTAGGGATTCTACATCTTTAAGAAAAGACTGTAAGACTAGAATAGACACTGGGAATAAGTCAGTGTCTTTTAGAAGTGGGGTGACTATGGGAAATGGGTGGTAAAAATGTGAGCACTCCTGTTTCATTCATAAAGCAGCCCCATTTGGATATGGGCATCCCTGTTGAAGTTGTCCCTATTCAAGTTGTTATTCAAGCTTACACTGACCTGCACTATTTGGACCTAGAGATCATGAGAAGTTCATTTGCCTACAAACTCAGGCAACAAATGATAGCCATTCCTGCATAGTCTAGAAGGCTGTGGAAGGCAACCAACACCACAGGCCCTAGAAAACTGTGTCAAGAGCTGCCAAGGTTGTTCAAGGAAGGAAAATATGAATTCAACTGACAGATCTATTAATGCCCCCAGGTTTGGACTGCAAACAGTATTCAGCTCTGCACAGATCAGGACATTCCAAGAGGGGGCTCTCCCATCTCAGGTATTTTCTATAAGATCATTGTGACAAAGTTTTGATACGTTGCAAAGAATTTTAGCTGTTTATACTCATTTGAAAAGTGTCTGATTTGCTTTACCGGCAAATCAGTGTTCAGAGTAATATATGAGAATCCAAAATCATCACAAAGAAAACTGAATGAAGAAAACTAAGACGAGCCTCTAAATTCAAGCACAGCAGCATAAACAGAAACTAGCAATCTATGGCAAGACCCTGGGCAAATAAAAACTTGTACTGGTTGGGCAAAATTATACAAGGAATGAGCCAATCAAGTCTTTCCAAAGATAGATGTTATGATAGAAAAGATCCTGACTCGTATTGTCAAAGAATTAAGCTTTGGGAAAAGGCGTTCTCTGAAATACACAAGATGCAAACTGCCTTGTATTTTAAAGGAAAGAGACAGAACCCTAAACTGAAACTGGAAATGTATGGATGCTCAGAATAGCCACACACAATAAAACTGAAATGATATGGGCTCTTTTGATAAGGATCTTGGTCTTGGCTTTTTCTTCCAGAAAATGTTACCCAAGGCCTTTCGCAACCCATGCTTGACTGTGAGTTTTGCAACAGGTGATTTGCACCGACAGTATAAGCAGAATTAGAGACCTTGAAACAAGTAGCATTTAATTTAAACTTCAGCAGTTAAGAAACCAACAAGGAAGAACCTCAGCAAGGAAATGTCCTTTTTCCTTCATATCAAGTAAAGAGATGGTGTATCTACCAGTTATAAACTATAAGGTGTTATGTTAGGGCTAAAACAGACAAAGCATTGTTAATTGTTATTGAAGGTTCTTTTTTCCAATGCATTTTTTTCATTGCATTAATTGTGAGAAGAGGACTTATTCATAATTATTCAGTTCCACTCTCTGTTGATACCACAGTATCACTGCCATGATCCCACAGTGATCTGAAATCATTTTTAAAAAGTGTGGTTCCTAGCAGAAAAGAAGGTTAATTGTTCCTGTTAAATACCTCTGCATATGGAAGCCTTTTATTTTTGTCTGTTTGGAGAACTCCCAATCTGGGGGCTCAAAGAAGATCTACTATCTACTAATGCCCTGGGCAAAGTTGAGAAAATGATATCTGCTTCAGTTGCTTAGAATTCCCAATCTTCAACAATATAGGAACTATCACATTTTTCTTTATTTATGTGTTCTCATTTTATAGAGCCATTTCCATGTTCCACTTTGTCCTAGAAGCTGATCTCTGTGAAGAGCTTTCAATAAACAAGCAACATGAGCTCTTTTTTTATAGGTAGGTGCACCTCATTAAGTCTTCATAACATTTCCTCCATTTCATCTCTCCCTCTCAGCAAGCTACTGGAAGTGAGAGGGGGAATTTAACATCTGTTTGAAAAAAGAACTCTGGTGATCCTGGAAGTTTGCTTGTTAATTTGTGCCATTTTATTTTGTCCTGATTAAAGCATTCAGTTCCTATTTGGATTCTACAACCTGTTCTGCTACAACATAATGAAAGGGAGCAGCTGTAGCAAACAGCTGTGGGCATTTCAGAACTCTGAGGAGCATTACTCTTCTATAGCAACATTAAAAGTAAGGTAAGGAGAGCCACATGCAGCAATGTTGAAAGCTGGCTTCCTTCTAGTTCTCTGAATTTATGATGAGTCTCAGAGAACCTCCTCCTAAGGTCAAGTTCAAGTTATCCTGAAATCAGAGTTTATCCGTCTAGTTTTAGGGGGTAGGCTCACTGCACCTCGGAGAGTTCCTACCTGACAAAATTGGGCAGATGATTTTTTGGGGGTAGCAGGAAGATGTAATAAGGGAAATTTTCAACTTTATCTATTGTGCAGCTATTAAACCCATTGAGGAAAATGGCTGGCCACCCAACAGCAATAAATATACACAAACTCCTACTGAGAAGCTGAAATGCTTGCCCAAAGCTATAGTACTTTAGCCTAGAAAGATAAGGCTGGGGCTTGGCTCCAATCCTCATTGTCCTCTAAGTTGGGTCTGTTTGAGTAGGTAATTTTTCAGGCTAAACCTGAGACACAATGAATGCAGCCAAATTTACTTACTCATGACCCTAACCCTTATTAACATTAGTACTAGTTACTGGAATAGGTGGGAGAAGAGTATCTTTTACCTCACGCATACTAGAAAGAACAGAACCCTCCTTTTTCCTGCATCTTTGTTCTTCACTGTTTCAAGCATCATTCCCTCCAATGTAGCTCTTTCCTACAATCAGAAATGGGCTGGGATTAAAAAGGCTGAAGCCACAGAGCCTGAGAAGGTAAGATGGAGAAGAGGCTTTGTTCCCTTCATCAATATACTCTGTTGGAGTAAAACTTAGGTGTTAGATATAAATATAGCAGAGGCATGAAGATGGCTGCTTTTCTGCTGTGAAGGACCTGGCAAGAAGGAACACAAAGAGCC